CATAATGAGAGTTTGCTTAGCAGAGTTGAAAATAGTTTGCTTATTGATCATAGTAAATTTTGAAATTTTCATCTGACTTTTACATAGATTATTCGAGATCCTCTTCTAACCCTTGGTTATATATATTTATGTATCTTCATGACTTACGTATAAACTTGCGAATAGTTGCTATAGGTATATTAATAAGAACTTCTGAAACTTGTTTTAATAAGTCTGCAAAACTATAATTGTATATTCTTCTAGTCTCTTACTTTGCATAACCCCAATATCATTCTATAAAATTACACTTGCAATAAAAATTTTAGATATCTTTCGAATATATGCCCTGCTTCTATAATTGCTTCTTTTAATATTGATTGTTATTTATAGAAATCAGATTATTGTGATATGATTTATTGTGCATAACAGTCTAATTTTTCAGAATTAAGATCATAATCCTTTCCAGAACACTGTTCACACATTAAACGAATATTCTTTGATGGTCAAAGATTACGTTCCTTAAGTACTTGCTTGATACCTTTCAGTTGTCCTTTCAGTAGATGATTATCTGAAAATATCATTAACTACACAATTTTCTCATTATTTTCATTAATATACCAACCATCATGCATCTTAGGCTATTTTCCTCCAGGATTCATATTCATTCTTATTGCAATAAGTGCGTTAACCGCTATAGTATTGTGATTTATTGATTGATCAAAGCAAAAAACTCTAATACATCCAGGATGCAGTATCTCAAAGATCAGAATAGCTTAATGAATAAGCTTTATTTATAAATGAAAAGAAAAATTAGTAACTTTTTTCTTTAATATAGGTCAATAAATAATAAGGAAAACTTAAACCTGATCTAACATATGTTCTAATTTTCAATAACCATCCACTTGTATAGATCACAGAATATAAGTTTCTTTATGTTTAATATGAGAATTTTCCTGCAGTTGTTCATCAGATAATTGCAATAACTTATGATATGAACAAATGAAAACTAAAATCATGATAGAGCATCTAAGATGTTTTGAACGTAAAATATTCTCATCCTTTCTTATTCAGATTTTCCGTTACCCATTATTAGCATAAAAGTGATATTCATCATATATTACTTGTACTAATTCTTTCTCTCCTAGTTTAAGCTGTGGTTCTAATATAATATCCAACATATCGCCATCAAAATCTTTCATAGATTCCTTATACATGAATATCCTCTTTAACCATTCCTTCATATATTTTACAACATCTGGCTGTTTATGTCCATCGTAATAGATTCCTTTCTTTCTTTCATCATAGACATATTCTCACAAATGCATATAGTTTTGATAAGATTTTTCAGAAATTGTATTTTTTTAATGTGTCTGATTAACTTTGAAAATAGTATTGTTTCAATATATATTTTTAGATTTCTGGGAGAACAGGACTCTAGTATTTGCTGTCGTAACCAGATTTAACATTTCTTTTTAAAATCTTCATCTTTTAATAAACTTTCTAATTTCGCATGTTTCTCTTGATGATATACAAGAAATTCTTCTGTCTGAATAAAATGGATTTCCTATTTCTGAATACACCTCGCTATATAATCACCTTTATTTCACATTGTTTCTGCAATTTGAATGCTAGTATCCATTTTACCTCATCCATCTAATAACAATTATATGAATCTGCGTATACTTAGGTAACATAAATAATCATAGGTAAAAATACTATTGTTTATTTTTGCAGATTTTGATATTGAGCATTTTTGATTTACTTCTTCTAAACGAGCTTATAGATTTTGCATAATGTTGATTGAAAATAAAGAAGAGCTTTGTATAGTTTCTGAAGGTTGAGGTAAAGGCATTGAAGGATTCTGAGGATGGTTGTGATAGCTGTGATGGTCACAATGATTTGAAGTTTCAATATTTCCAAAAAATGTTTTGAGCATTTTCATTTCCTTTGCATCATTTTTTAAACTTTCTTTTTCTTTTTTCTGTCTCCAAGTTGTGCTTCTTGAAGTTCTGGTATATGCTATTCTAATTCCTTTATTAGTATTCTTATGCCAACGAAAGCTTCAGTAATAAGCCTTTTTCTCACTTTCTCAAATTCTATCAAATCCTCTTCCATCCAATCTTCTTCCGTCCAATCTTCGTCTTCTATTCCAATTTCATTTTCCATCCAAATATCTTCACCTATTATTTCATAATTTTTGCCTTCCATTTCAACAGCTTTACCTTTCATTCCAATAGTTCTAACAACTTCGCTTACTATAGCTTTATCATTTTCAATAGTTACTTCTGATCCAATAACTTCTTTTACTAGCTCTTAAGATATAAAACAGCCTTTTTTCTAGGCACCTTACTTACCTGCTGTTGTCTTTTTGTTTTACGTGGCATATTAAGAATATCAGTTAGTTTAACTAAAATCGAAAATCAAAATCAAGATTTTAAAGATTTGAGTTTAATTAATTGTGATAATTCGGGCTGACATTATAATATCAATAGTGTCAGCCCGAATTACTATAAGTTTTGACCAATCAAAGTATTTCACGTGATCAGATTTGTTTTAAAATTTTTGACTTATCATATAAAAATCATGTGATTTCAAACACTTATAACTTTTTATTTTAAAAATTTAACCGGTAATTTAATAGAGCTTATCATAAAGAACAAAGTTACCGGTTTATTTCTTTTAAATTTTATTTTTTTAAAATTTTGAAAAATTTTTAAGTGTTACAATTTTATTGTTGAGTATAGACTTCCAGCACTATATTTGACGGACTAGAATATTACAAAAATGAAATATAATGGTAAGGATGAAATAAAATGGATTATTAGTGTATTGTTTACTTTTATCAAAAATTACGAATATACTTATTTATTCTCCGGTACTATAGATTCAAGTTTAATTCATCACGGAATAGTTCTCTTGCGGAACTTAACTTTTTACATGATCTATGTGGGTGGAAGTGAAAAGAGTGATATGGATATGCGAAAACATTATATGTATAGTTGTGATAGGTCAGAGTATAAGAAACTTATAGATAGCGATATTAGTGATAAAAACAAATTAGTTATAAAGAGAACAAAGAAATAACTTGATGCTGGGACTCGCATTAAATAACCTAAGATCTGCGTACTCCCTCCCTCTTTGATAGCATCATTCATTTTATAGCATTTCTCTAAAAAAAATTAATAACGTTTTGCATATCAGATTTATTATATTTTTAAAAAAAATTGTCATATCATGTATTGGGTGAATCTGATACGATATATAATAAAACTTAAGATAACTTGAATTTTTATATCAATAAGATCAGTATAAAGAATTTCATACTTCAAACTTACAAAACGCGTTTTCATAATAGAAGTTTAATCAAAGTTTAATCAGATTAATCAGATTTAAAACATGTTAATATAGCTTATAACTTAATAAAAGTTAATTTTAAACCATATATAAATCTCTCCAGAAAATCGTTTTTTCTTTTTTTTTTAAAAAATTCTTATTGATTACTTCTTTTTAATAAACTCACAAATAAAAAAAAATGTCAACTATTTTTAAAGAAATTAACAACCTTCCTTTCGATGATAACAAAAAGGCTGACCTACTCGATTTTTTTACTAATAGAGACACGACTAGAGTGGAAACAGTTCTTCTAGCAACCGAAAAAGATGAAGTGAAAGTCAACTACTTGAGGAAACATGCCAAATCTCTAAGAGGTAATTACCCTTGCGCCATAATTGGTAACTTGCTGTCACTGTGTCTTGCCCAACTAACTTTGCCTTTTTTGACCTTCTAATCCAATTTAGATAATTTAGATGAACATCAAGGTAAGCCTTTGTGTCGTAATAATTGGTCAACTCGTACGTGACTCACTAATCTTTTATTTTTATACAGACGAAGACGCAAACAGATTTTAGAATGCACTAAAGGACAAAAATGTTGAATGCGAAGAATTCTTCCAACTGCCTGAGGGCATCTATTTTTTAGAAGATAAAGACGAAACTTCAATTATTTACATTTGTAAATGCTACCGCGATTTGGCAAAGATTGCATTTGATAAGAAAACGAAAAAAAGATTGCGAATCAGCAGTAATCCAGGTATCAGAAAGACGCTATTCAGCTACTACTTATTTTATTTACTTTCGCAAAAAAATATAGTAACTATATACGATTTCCATGCTTCGAAAACTGTGCTTATCTTTGACAAGAATAGTGTCTTTTGTACTTTCTGCATAAAAATTATAGAATCATATCAGAAAAATTCAAATGCATGGTACATTGTGAATGCTAAGATACCGGTTAAAGTTAATGCAAGAACAATTCTTTTATGTTCATCTAGAAAGGATCTCTATAGAGATTTTGACAAGTTTGGACTTTTAACAATACAGTTCATGCCAGTTTGGAGACGAAGAGAGATCGATGAATGCAGGGATAAAATTTTTTATAACATTGAGAAAGAAAATGTTGAAGAATTGTTTTTGAAGTGGAGAGGAATTCCTAGGTTCGTTTTAGAACAGGCTAATGATAAAGGTTATCAAGACATGTTTGAAAAGGCAATTAACAAGTATAGCATAGAGATATTTAAATACATTAGTGAATCAACGGATATAGATAAAATGAGCCACAAGCTCATTCACATTTATACGAATCTTCCATTCACTGATGAAGTAAAAGACGAAAATGAAATGGATTTAGATACTATTCTCACTATTCCTAATGATGTAATGCTAGATCAACACAGCGAAGGACCCTATACAAAGTCAATTGTAAGATTCACCTCTAACTTTGTTAAGCAAGAAGTGACTAAAATACTCGAGGAAGACATAAAGAACAAATTGCGTACTGAAACGAATTTAAGCTTAAAAGCAGGAATCAGTAATTCATTATTGGGCATGTTATTTGAACAGATTGCTCATCGGATGCTATGTGATGGGGGAATTTTCAAAACACGTTCTTTAGAACTCAATGGTTTAGAGAAAGTTCTCGTTATTAACAGGTAGAGTGAAATACTCAAGTTTTTTAAAAGTAATATCAGTGCGATCGAAGATAAAAAATACTATAAATCAGTAGAATAAAATTTTCTAATAATCAACGCCATCATTACTTCCAACAGATTTTTTCAGATAACAATAGCAAAGATCCATCCTATCAAGATGAACGGTTTAAAAATACTTTATAATAAGTTAGGGGGGAAGGATGCGTCAGAAGATATCAAATTTTATTTTGTTGTACCAGAACACTTGTACGATAATTACAGAAAGCAAGATTTTCATACATCTAACGATACTCTTGCCCTGAATGTACCACTTTGGATCCAATTTCGTGTTCAACAATATGCATTAAAAATGGTTTTGTAACTCTATTAACAGATTTAGTAATGTAGAAACTTAACAGACGTTGTAACAAAACTAGCAAACTATGTCAACAGTTCAAGTGAAGTGAAAATAAATTTGTTGCTTTATGGAGGGTAAGATTTAATTCATATTAGGATAGTGCAGTGAGGCTGACACACCACTATATTAATACCTGATTTTATTAAAACTACAATTATTTTTATTTATTTTGATTTTTTGATTTAAATTTTTTAAAAATTTTCAGAATTTTCGTAATTTTTCACAAAAAATCGTCTTGCAAAAAGATTATTTCAGAATAAAGAAATGTAATTTTTGTATATTAAAAACTTTGTATTATGCAAGAAAAAACTGCAGAAATTGCTAAGTATTTCCAGGTAACAGTTTAAAAACAATTAAACCATTAATAAATAATCAGGTTATTCTTAAATAAGGATTGTACAAAAATAAAAAATTATCAAAAACTGTTCTTAATAATAAAGATTTTAGATGCTATAGTTTATAAGAAGTTTATCAGTTTTTTTCAAAAAAAAATAAAGGTGAACAAATGTTCAAATGAATTATTTAAAAACTATTAAGAATACAGTAGCGGTCATAAGTATCTGACCGCCTCTAACTCCGGCTACAAGTAAGTAAATTCAAAATTTTTTTTTTAT